TCGGTGCACCATGGGAGGATGCTTCTCCAAACCAAAGCCAGGTGACTGCTGTTCATTGTTCATCTAGTCGTCAATGTTTGTCGGAATAGCTGCATATGAATCTAGGTCAGGCATGCCGAGGTACTCCATAGGGAGGCTGTTTCAGAGAATTTTAATTCTCTGCTCCTACACAGAGGATTACAGGGCAGTTAAGCCGCAGAACATTCCATTTCATTTCCACTCCCATGCAATGAATTGTATAAAACCTTTCAAAGTGCAGAGAGGGAGGGTTTAGAGTGCAGTGAAAAACTCAAATCTCAGTAAATTAGAGATAGAAAAACTCACCAGGGCATCAGTTGCAGCTTGGGCCAAAGATAAGAATCCAGCCTTGATTTGAAAGACAGAAATTCAAAATCTAAGTAAATTTGCCATTTGATTTACCCTCATACATGAACTGCCCATTGAGGCTATGTCTACACAGCAGCATTATTTTGGAATAACTGATGTTATTCTGAAATAACACCGTATGCATCTGCACTACAGGCAGTTATTTCAGCATAATGTCAAAATAATATCCAGCTGGAGGACTTCCTACTCTGACTCCTGTAACCCTCATTTTATGAGCTCATTAGAGACACAGGCTGCATGAGGTGATAACATTTATTGGCCCAGCATCTCACTTGGTGAGAGAGACAAGTTTTGAGCCACACAGAGCTCTTCTTCAGGTCTGGGAACAGAATTGACAGTGTCACAGCTAATTACAAGATCAAATGGGTAATGTTACACACATAGTTAGCACATAGTCTTTAGTTGTTTAGTCTCTCCATTTTTAAATATTAATAATTTTTATCAGACCTCATCATCTGGGGGATCTGATTCATGATTTTTGAATGCTTGTAGGTGGTATTCTGAGAATGGCACAATACTGACATTTGCAAATAATATAAAGAAATTGCTTAAGCTACTTTTTTTAGTATCTTTAAAAACTTCTCCAATTGTCAGGTTAGCTCATTTGTCCAAGGCAGTTGCTTTGCCATGAGAGAGAATGGATTTCTACTTCCCAACAATGTTGGGTCTTACATGACAAGAGTCCTGGTCTTCAGCACAAAAGTTCCACCTTTGTTGGCCCAACAGAAGTTAGCCCTCATTGCTACGGAGTAAACAGAAGTACAGTCATATGTGACTGCTTAAAAAATTCCAAGACGTTAGATCGCAATCACATTAAGCTTAAGAACCTCTTTATAGTAAGTTTAAGAAGAGCTTAAAATATGCTGGAATGCAATCCAAGTACATCTACACCAAGCCAAAGGGATTTAAAATGTTAAGAAATGTGGTGTTTATAAACCTCTTATTTCTTTGAAATTTAATTTTCCTTCATCAGAATAGAGCTGTTTCCATTCTGGACACAGTCACCATGGATCCCCAGACTCCAGAAGGGCTCAGCAAGAGGGAATACTGCTCCCTGCCTAAGTGGCTGTCCTAGAAGCACCCAGTGTGGTGCAGGGTAGGGTGAAGCAGTGAGTTTCCAGGATGGGGAAGGCATGAAGTGGGCTCAGGATGCAATAGAGAGGAGGGGGTGGGATGAAGCCAGAAGACTGTGGGGGGTGAGGGTGGTGAGCCACATTGTCAGGGGCTGAGTTGGGAACAAAGAGCCAGGTGCCTCCACCAGGGGCCTGTAAAGGCAGCTGACTCCCTTGCTAGTGCCATATAGGCCCTCTAGTCTTGTATAGCAGTGGTTCTCAACCTATGGTCCACAGATCCCTGACTATGTGCAATGGGTCTAGAAAGACTTACACTGAAAACTCAAGGAACAGAATTCTACTGTATATACAGACAATAGATTTCCAAAAGGGCTCACACCTCTGCTTGAAATGTTTTGAGGGCCACCTTAAGAACCATTGTAGTGTAGTATTGAATAGTGGCATAAATTTGTTGCTGTGCTGGTTAATTCAGCTGATAGGGAAGTACATATTCCCACACATTTGCTCACAAGGCCCCTTCTTTGTCCACAGAGACACATAGTTGCATATCTTAAGCCATCTATACTACAAAATTAAGCCAACCTAACTGCCATTGGCATATGATTGCCAAAGTTATGTCATCTGTGCATGTCTACACTTTGCTCCTTGTGTCATCGGTGAAAATTCTCACCAGGATCACTTATATCGATTTTACTGCACTGTGGGATGGATCCTGAAGGCCAATAACAGTTAAGGCGACAGTGCATTGCTTACATTATCTTAACTATATCAGCTTCACCTGTACACTGTGAGGGTATGTCTACACTACCCCCCTAGTTCGAACTAGGGGGGGTAATGTAGTCATACGGAGTTGCAAATGAAGCCCGGGATTTGAATTTCCCGGGCTTCATTTGCATGAAGCTGGCCGGCGCCATTTTTAAATGCCGGCTAGTTCAGACTCCGTGCCGCACGGCTACACGCGGCACGGACTAGCTAGTTCGGATTAGGCTTCCTAATCCGAACTAGCTGTACGCCTCGTGGAACGAGGTTTTCAGGGTGGCTGACCCTAAAAACTGAGGCTGAAAGGATTATTAAAAAGGTAGAGATGAGTTATTCAATGGTGCATCTCAGGGGTAGTAACCATGTTATTCTGAATCTGCAAACTTTGAGGAGTCTTGTGGCACATTGGAGACTAACAGATTTATTAGGGCATAAGCTTTCTGGTGAATTGGGGTTTGAAGCACGTGGAAGAGAGGAAAGAGGTCAGGAACGATCAACATGGATTCACCAAGGGCAAGTCATGCCTGATCAACCTGATTGCCTTCTATGATGAGGCTCTGTGGGCATGGGGAAGTCGGTGGATGTGATATACCTTGACTTTAGCAAAACTTCTTATTCAGTCTCCCACAGTATTCTTGCCAGCAAATTAAAGAAGTCTGGATGGGTAAATGGACTGTAAGGTGGCTAGAAAACTGGCTAGATTACTAGGCTCAATGGGTAGTGATCAATGGCTTTATGTCTGGTTGGCAGTCGGGATCAAACGGAGTGCTCCCAGAGTCAGTTCTGGTCTGGTTTTCTTGAACATCTTTATTTATGACCTGGATGAGGGGATGGATTGCACCCTCAGAAAGTTTGCAGAAAGATGTGGATACACTGGAGATTGTCCAGAGGAGGGCAACATTCATGATTCGGGGGCTGGAGCACATGACTTATGAGGAGAGGCTGAGGGATTTTGGCTTATTTAGACCTCAGAAGAGAAGAGTGAGGAAAAATTTGCTCGCAGCCTTCAACTACCTGAACAGGGGTTCCAAAGAAGATCGAGAGAGGCTGTTCTCAATGGTGCAAGAATCAGGAGCAATGGTTTCCAGTTGCAGTGGTCTCAAATTGCCCTAGCCACAGCCAGAGAAGGACTTTTATCCTGACCCTCAGAAAAGATTAAAGAGCTAGCTGTAAAAAGGCTTGGCACCATGAGCAGAGAATCTGTCTTCATCTGTTTGATTCCTACTGTGTTCTGGGAAACAGGACTGTGTGCATTCTTTGTATATAAACAGGATTGCATCCAAGAAATACCTGACTGCATCAATTGCATATGCTCAGGAAAATAATCCGCTAGACCCTAATTATTGGCTAACCACTTGGGTCAAAAGCAGTAACAACACTGTATCTGGATCCAATGCTTGCATGCTGTTTCTGTACCAGAGATAGGGTTGTATATTTCCTCTGGGAGGTCCATCTGGCTAGCAGAGCCTACGCATCTAGGCAATGCTTTTATTACAAAAAGTGTGTTTTTACATCAAATAGCTAGCTCAAGACAGCCATCTTGTTGTAAGGTCAGCATGGAGACAAGATACAGTAGTACTTAACTCCAGGTAGTTGGTCAGGCTGTACTCCAAATGGATCTTGGCTAACTCTATCAAGATAAAAACAGCTGCATCTCATCTCCACTGGAGTTACCTTCTCAATACCAGAACAGGCCTTTGCAGTTAAGGCATAGCCACAGGGCAGGGATGGGAGAAGGAGATGGCTCTGTCTAATAGTCGCCCAACAGCTTCCACTTATGGGCTGTTAAGAGACAGGGTCAAGCCCACTAGCCTTAATGGTTCCAGTCTGACCTCCTAGGAAGCCCCTACGTTGGTTTGAAGAGGGTGAGGCAAGGCATTACTGCACCCACCTGATACAGAATCCAGTGGGAGAAAGGAAGGTTGTGTGACTTAAATAAGGACAGGCTCTTTGAAGAGGAATCAGACAACACTTGACTTAGGCTTTTGAGGGTTTGTGAGCTGGGCCAATTCTGTTCTTGTAACTTAACTGGATAGTCTCTACATGAGCTTGTAGGGCACATAAGTGGTTGGTGATGGAGTAGTATACCCACACCTGGCTTAAGTGGGAGAATTCTGAGATTCCCCAGAGCCTAGTACTTGAGGGAGATGTGCTCAGAGAGACCAGAAAGGGGACAAAGCTGCAGCTAGCTCTGTAACCATGGCAACATCCAATTCCTTTTACAACAAAAGAAAATAAAAAATTTACATCTCTTAGGAGAATGAGAATCCAGGTCTAAAATGGTATGTCTATGCTTGCCCTTGATCAACAAAACTTTTGTTCTTCACAGGTGCTTAATGCACCCTCCTCCCCCAGAAATGACAAAGTTTTGCTGTGGCAAGTGAAAGTGTTAACGCTGCTTTGTTAGCAGAAGCGCTCTCCTGCCGACAAAGTGATTCCCCCATAAGAGGTGGAAGTATTACAGTGTTCACACACGCTGACTCTTAGTCACAAGGTAATGTCAACACAGCCTTGTTGCTAAGAGCTCCGCCAGGCAGACATGTTCCAAAGTCATGTCAAGTCTATTTCATATTAGAGTTAACGTGTGAAATAATACCTTGTGCTGGAAATCTAGAAATCAAAACACTCCATCGTAGAACACCTCCTGCCTATTCACTTCTGAATAGATGCATGTCACCTCAACATCCACCAATTTCTGCATTTACCCCTCTGCCTCAGAGCAGACTGTGGTGCAAAAGCAGTGAGCGATGCTCTGAGTCAGTGGCAAGGGCTAGGAATGGCTGTATCTCTCCAAATCAGTTGACATGTCAGCCCTGATGCAGCTCGGGTGACGCAGCAGGGGGTGGGTGAGTGTGCACTGTTATCATGCTGTCCAGCACTGTTATCATGGTCACAAGCTCCTCCAGCTCCAGAGTCCCAAAGGAACCTATTCTACTCTGCAACTTGTTCAACATGGTGTTAGGGAAGAATATGAAACAGTAGAGAATAATATAGCAACAATGCACTAATAACTAGCCCGACATCAAGGGCAGTTCCACTCCACCATTTCCTTCCTCTCTGCCCCTGCTGCACCCCCAAAACCACACAGCCCTCTCCTTGTTACCCTGGGATAAGTGTATAACTATCATGGACCCCATCCCCAACAGTGCAGAGGCCTCCTCTACAGGGAATTCACTGGCCATTGTGAAGGCTACTTTGTAGTATGGCCTTAAAAAAACAGATACTCAGGCTTTTATCTTTCATTCTGAAATCTTTTCTGTCGTAATGGTTTATGTGGAAATACTCTGAAGAGCATCTGTGACTAGGGTTGCCAGGTGGCCGGTTTTCACCCGGAGAGTCCAGTAATTGCGTCTTCTGTCCGGTTAAAAAAAAACCAGAAAATATCTGACATGTAAAATGTCTGGTATTTTCTGTTTTTCTTGGACAGAAGGCTGGCAGGGACATTTTTCCCCAGCCACATCTGGTGGGGGGGGGGGGGGGGG